CCTGGCGGAACTGGACAGGGGCACGTTTTATTAAGGCTGCGAATGCCTTGTTCTACGGCGATGGCTAATGCAACAGAGATCCATATCAACCTAAAATCATCCAAATAATTAGAATGCGATGTAAGATTGACTGATTGAGTTGGTTTTGCAAAGTCACAGCAAGATTTGAATTCGGACACGACTTTTGGAACGGAGGCACAGTTCATCAATATTGAATGGATTCAATCCAATCAGAAATAAACAGCATGAATGCAAATGAAAATCCCAGTACCGGGTGGGAGGGTGGGGTGTATATCAGCCATTCGTGATGTCATCTGCCCGACATCATCAAATGCGTCGACCAGCTTAACTGAAACTATATTATTGATGACATTTTACATGCTGATCACCTGCCATGCCATGTGCCGTGTCGCCTGCCATGTGGCATTGCTGCTACAAACGGGGCTATGCCATTGTGATGCCATCATGGAAATTCAAATTCGTTATGATATCCCGCCTCTTCAAAGCCCAAGTCTCAACATTTTGCGTTCAAATAGCTACCACCAACTCACATGGACTAGCGACTTTTCTCACACGGGTGAGGCGAAACAAAACGGCAATCAAATTTTAGCCCCTTAAGCCATAAAATAGAACGAAATGAAATAGTATGAAAAATATGATATAATATATATGAAATAATGAAATGAGTTGCAGTTGTCGGAATTGAAACCTTGAAGATACAGCCGCCAGAGCCTGGACGTCTCCTTCCAAGGCTCCAGGCGAGCAGGCTTGATAGGGGTGAGCTCCTCTTCGTATATTTGGTAGTGAAAATCTTCTCCCCAAAGGCCGGGCCACGGACCGTCGACGATCCCGGCGACCGCGTCATCGCTGCGATGCCAAGCAGGACCGTCAGCAAAGCACTGTGCACATGTTCAGGCGGGTGCAAATTACGTAACTTGAAGGGAATATGTGCGCCTGGTTCACTAATGTAGGCATGAAGTTTCTGGCGGCTACTCTTAAAAGTAGAAATAATTTGGCATTGGATATTTCGCAGAGCTCTAGTATTAATAAGTGTATGACTATTGCTGCCACTGCGCATGCGCATTGCGAATTTCACGTGCAATTCGGAATTTCCGGCAAGAAGATCGCGCAGACTGAAGGCTGCTCTGTCAAGCTCGGGACTCGATTTTCTTGCATTTTACATAAATATATTTGTATCGCTCTGCGAAAATGATTTTTTTTGGAAGTCCAGCGTTGGTGAGTATACAACCCCTTGACGGGTAGAATCAGGCCACCGGAATATAAGAATCTGATGAGCAGATGTCGATGTACTGGAATGCAAACATCTGGTTTGCATTCCAGTACAGCAACGTCTTGTCTGCTACTAAAGACGTGTACCGATGCAGCAAAGCACATCCACTTCCTTAAGACAGAGCAAGAAACGAGGTCCTGCACGCAGGAAAGCAAAAAGAAGCAAATGCTCTGCCAGGGCAGTGCTCTTCGTGCGGATACGGTGGATGCACACGTGTACATTCAAGGCAATACATCGCATGGTTCAGCAGCAAGCCAGGCCCACTTACTAAGCTTTCGCAACGTCGGAAGTTGCGCGGGTCATCTTTGCACGTCGACGGCACTGCCTTCAGCGGAACTGCTGCAGCTTCTGAGGCCTGCGAAGCACCACCCAGTTTCCCCTCTCTGTCTAACGTCGTCGTGCGCCATCCCCGCAAACGCAGCCCGGCGTTGGTTACAGTCGACAGAGTCCAAAGGCTCGGCGCAAGTCAAACCTCGCGGTGACCTGGCAGCAGAAATTCGGCAACCACAAAATTCCACTCCCCTCCAAGATCGCTGAGCCGATCCCGTGCGCAAAGGGAGCGTGGGCGTTGCCCAAAATGCCCTGCCTCGACCAGATCATTCACGGCCTGGGCGTTCGCAGAAACAGACCCTACCTCTGGGAGCCGACCGGGTGAACTTTGACCTTGCTCGCACCTTGGGTGGAATCCGGACTGTGTGCAAGAAATCTGCCTGGCTGGCAAGATGAGCTCCGGGCGAGCTGGCGCTCCCGGCGTGTCTGTGCGCACAGAGGCGTTGGCCTGGAATATATGTCGGAGAGAATCAACGCGCGCCCGGGGGCCTTTAATTGAATGGCTTGTTTCGTGTTAGACATTTTCTGACATGCCGGATCTTGTTTCGGTGGAAGGAATGATGGATTCTCAGAAGCTGCATGGCTTTCTTGAGGCGCGCATGGACGCCTGTGCAGCAGTTCAAATTGAACATTGTTTGGCATGTTTCCTTTTGGAATTGACTGCTGTTGGGACAATAGTGGTCCGCGCTTCCGTTCGTTCTCAGACTCAGTGCCTCTTAGAGTTTCCGCTTCGAAACTATGAGGAATGTCTGCGACATAGACGATGCACCTTGCAAATATTCTGCCTGAGGTAGAATTCAGCTTTTCAGAGACATGGTACACTCAGAACTTTGAGAACTTCTGTGCAGCAAATTTCGATGCACAGAGCGCAAACTGCTGTATTTCTACCTGAATACGTTTTAGATGGCTGCATGCACACTAACATAGAAAATCCTTTTGTCCAGTTTTGCAAATGTTATGCTGTTTGCTGTACTTCTGTGCTTGCTTCAGAAGCAGCAGAATACGATTGCTCAGCAATTCAATTGTGACGCAATTGTGGCAATCCAACATATTGTGCTATACCGCAGCCTGGCAATTAAACACTTCAGAATAGCTTACTCGTTTTCGAAGCGAGTGGCCAACAAAAGACACCAAAGCTTTATTCTTGAAACCCTTTTCGAAGCTGAATTTAGGAATGACGGAAGTTCCAAAATCAGTGTACTATATACCTGCAAATTTTCACCAAGAATTTATTGTCTACTGCTCGTGATGTTGAAACCAAAATGATACTCCATGCGGCTGCCTGCGTGAGTAACACGTGAGACTCATATCCCAAGTAATGGACGGTCCATTACTCCATAATGGGTGGACCACTATTTCATAGATTCTCCCACTCTGAACTGTGCAAATCGACCTACCTACGCCTTCATGTTGGTGCGTGCTGAGTTTCAATGCGAGGTACCTCGCAAGCAGCAGGTGTCCAACCCCACCTGGAGTGCGGGCTCAGCCACGCACGAAATCCTCCCTTCAAGGGTCAAATGAGGCGCAACGTAAGAGTAAATTGAAGGCAAAGCCTTGGAGTGACGGCCCGCACAGAGCCCAAGCTTGGGCGCCTTCGGTGCTGGCCTTTCCGCTTGTTGCAAGCCCTCGCATTGGAGATCAGGGAGGGTGGCGGTTTCTGCCGTCATCGACGCCGTGACAGCGGGCCTCTTTGATGGGCATGCGCGTATGGTTGAGCGTGTTTGGCAAGCGCTGTACCGCGCGAGGGACGCTGCCCTTCGCCACAACGGCAGCAACCACTTTGCTTTGGCACACCTGGGATAGGAGCGACCCAGAACCGTGCGGATATGCAATCGACGCCGAGTCCGGGTGCACAATTTTGAGCCAATTCTTGGGCAATTTCAAGGGGGCCCCGGGATGAGTACTTTTTTCACAATCTTTTCGATTCTGGCCTTGTTTTGTACTTTTGATATATGTAAAGAATTTTGTATTTCAAATAGAGGACATTTAATTTGGGACAGAGGAAATATGTCAGCAGTGTTGGGGACGTTCAGCGTCGCCAGTCACTCCTCGCCGTAACCACAACACGCCCATCTCCCTCATAACGTGCAGTCGTAGGTCCATGGGATGCAAGTGGCAGGTCCCATCCAATAACTGGCCAATTTAAAGGTATTTGATGTAATTTTTCTAAAATACATCTAAAAGTATGCTTACATTGAATTTTGCCAAAATATGTTTATTATTGCGTATGTTGAGCTAGAACCGGCCGTATTTCCCAAGCCTGCACGCCGGATTCCACTGTTCAAACATTTCGGCCAGGAATAGGTATACATCGCAGGGAGATTTTCGGTCAACATATGTTGTTGAAAACCATGATGGACTAATTGCAATTCTGGGCCGCTTCTGTGCATACGTGTAGCACATGCGTACACAAGCGGGCCAGAATTGCATGTCTTTCATCGTTGCACAGCATCCAAGGCGGAGTGGTCCCGTCATCAAAGGTATTCCCAGTCGGAATAGCAACTGGACCGTTTTGTTGGACGCTTTGTTGCCAAAGTCAGTTGGTCTCAGTTGTGGATTGGCAAATTGATCGCTCGACGGTCTCTTGTGACTATAAAGCATTTACAACATAACTCCGGGTGGAAAAGACCAAACTGCGACGCCGATGATCAACAACGGCACCAACAGAAACGGCAAATCCACAAGTGCTGTAGTGCCAGCGATGACTGTCCAGACCAGCTGCCTACCGAGCTGTGAACAGTAAGCCTCTGTCTAATCCCATGTGTGATATCCTTGCCCATCAACATCGTTGCCAAAACACACGAATACACGACTATATGCAAAACCGAACAATGAGAGGGGCGGATGATATTAAGAAATTATGGAAAAGGATGAACGCACAGCAGCAGATTGCGCAGAATACCCACACCCATCTGCCAAATGTCCTATAAGTCCAGTGGCGACTCAACAGTGAACGCTGTAGCTCATCCACCTATTATTTCCTGGCCGTCTTCCACAGCAACAAGCAAACACGCCTCCTCACAACATACTGCGACCCTCCCGAATTCTCTGCCCATGCACATTCCGGTCCTGGGCTGTTCAGTTCCAGACGCTAGTAGCCGCCAGCCTCTTCGACAACCATTGTAAAGGACGCTCCCTGATCCACCTGGCCGGGAAACAGAACCTAGCATGGCAGGTGCGCGCGCACCATCGGTATATCCACTTCCACCCCCGTCGTTTACGCCGATGCGTGCCCCCAACCCAAAGACCAAACAGCAAACAAACCAGTGTTTTTCGCAAATTCAGGGTTAAACCGCGTATTCAAAGCCGGCGGAAGCGCCAAAAGCCTTCTAAAAGCTTTCAGCGCGAATGGCGAGGGAGCAATACGTTGTCCAAGTCATCAGCGCTCCAGCGCGTCCCTGATAAGGACCCCGGCCAGCCTCTTCAGCCTCCCAACCACGCTGACCATGCTGGGCCGCCCGTGCGGGTTCACCGCGCAGCAGTCGCCCATGAGCTGCCTCAGCGCCGGGGGGCAGGCCTCCGCCACCCGGAAGTACTTCTCCAGCTCCTGCTGCCCCATCGGCCTGAAGGCCCCGGGGGCGAACCGCGTGGCGGGCGGCCTGCGCCCCGCGAACTCGTACATGACCACACCGAACGCAAAGACATCGGATCGAACGCCGAGGGTGGTCCCCTCAGAGAACTCCGGCGGAGAAAGGGCGGAGGACGGGCCCCCGTTGGGGCCCCGAGTAATCATTCGCGTCTTTGTCCTTGTCGTCACCAGCCCGAAATCCGATACTTTGATCGTATAGCCGCTGATCGTCCCGGCATCTGCGAAGGCCAGCAGATCGGACGCCTTGAGGTTGCGGTGGGCGACCCGAAATTTGTGCAGGTGGGCCAGGCCGCGCGCGGCGTCCAGGAGCAGCTGGGTGCGGGCAACCCACGAGGCGGGGGCGCCAGGGGCGCCTGGCCTAAGGGAACCGAGGTTTCCGGCGGTGGCGCGCTCCAGGACCATCATGTAGGGTTGGGCGTCCAGGCGGGCGCCATGCAGCCTGATGACGTTGGGGTGGGCGATGCGGCTGAAGAACTGCACCTCGGCGACGAACTCGGAGTAGGAGTCCGGCTGGAGGATGTCCTGGCCCACGGGCAGCTCCTTGACGGCCACCTCAAGGTCGCGCCACCGGGCCTTGTACACCAGCCCCATCGAGCCGTCGCCGATCACGGCCCTCTGGTCACCGTCCATAACCCACGTGATGTCGGCCGCGTCGAGGTTCCACGCCATGGGTTCCTGAGGCCCGCGCATCAGCTCCCGCAGTGGGGGCTCCGCCCTGCCGTTGGACTGGGCCTCCTCCAGCCTCAGGAAGATCTCGTTCTGCTTCTCGTCCCTCTCCAGGGCCTCCTTCGGCACCGTTTTGGGCAGATCTTGCACCTGGAACGGGAGCAGAGGCGTTGGGAACCGAAGGCGCGAGGACCATTAACTTGCAACCGCCGAAGGCTGTTGGAATCTTGAGCATTGCTTTTGATCGGGACGCGACTGGGAGCAAGGCACCAAAATCATCGTGGCTAACTGTCGTCAGCTTCAAGGGTCGTGGCTAACTTTCGTCAGCTTCAAGGGTAAAAGTGAGTGGGCACAGATTCGTTGTGAACCAGCGATTCGTTTCAGCCACCTCGGAGGCAGCATTTCGTAGAGGGCTACTGAACAACCATGATCTTCAAGGAGCCCACAAAGAGCCCGCACCTGCTGCAAGATTTGCAGCCCCAAGCCCTGCTGCAAACGGTGCAGGTACATGTCCAGCCGCTGGGTAAGCAGCTGCACGTCTGCCAGCACCTGGTGCGCCATCAGGGTCTCCTTCAAGTAAGCCAGAAGCCGCTTCACCACACCTTTGCGGTCCACATTTGTGTGCTTCTCCACAAGCACCACACAATCCCGCAGCACCCGCTTCAAGTTGCAAAAGCAGCTGATCTGCAACTCCACTCTCCTTTCTCGGATTTCCTGTAGGCAGCTGTTGGTCAGTTCCACATGCTCCCGCAGCAGGTCCAGGATCATCTTATTGTGCTTGGCCTGGTCGTGTGCATTCTTGAAACTGGCGATCAGGGAGAAGAGTATCTGCACACCTTCCATCATGCTTCACCTGCCATTCACAGTGTATGCACAAGTCAATCGCCTGCATCTCCTAAATGTGCCGTGAGCATGATAGAAAAGGCCTTTGTGCCCATGAAGAACAGACTGTGCCATCTTTCAGCCCCCAGCAGCACTGGAGCCATCTGCGCTGTGTATGTCCCACAAACGGCCTAGGATCCAATCCAGGGCATCCAGTTGCATTCTCACAGCTGCAAGGGGCACATTTAGATAGACCGTCACTGCCAGATCATCAAGCTGAATGCCAATAAATGCAATTCCATCATGGGCTGTTCATTGAGCAGCAGGTCACAAGGTTGGACAAAGTGCACAACTCTTCCCATCGACACTATGATTCATAGTCCTGCTTTCAGGCTCTCTAGGCCTTGTGTCGCCAAAGCTGACTCTTGACAACAGCACCGGCGTTGCTGCCAATGGAGTGACGACCACTGTTGCTGTTGATATTTGCTCCCTTCAGCACACGTTGATAAGAAAATTCCATGAAACACCAGCCTACAGTGTGTGCATTTCCCACGGCCCGCCTCTGCATAGTTTCGTTTCGGCATTACTGCCATCGCTTCCAACGTCAGCTGGAGATGCAAACGCAATGCTTTGACACTTTGTGACAAATGTCATCAGATGGACTGCGGCAGTGCAGCTGCGGTTGCAGAGGGAGGGGAACTGAAGCCCTGGTTTGTTCTGAATGACGCCCCTCTCAGTTGTCTTTTTGCCTGAACTGTGCCACCACTGAATGTTGTGATGATGCCGCCGCAGACTGAACTATCAGCCAACCTTGTCTCTGCCCTTTGAGAAACGCAGGCCCCATTCGAGCTTACCGCAAAACTCTGAAAATGCGCATTCCTATCGACTCCATGACTCATCGCTAAGTGCGCAAACACGTCGCGTTTGCCCCCGTCGCTGCTGCTGCTTTCTCCCATTGCCTGGCGTTTCAAATGCTCCATTTTCTAAATTTAGAAGGTGAAGATGCGACTTTCGATTTGCAGGATCCCCTGCGCAGGCCCTTGCCCCCCAACTCGTCCCCTGGCACGACCTGGCTTCCGCGTCACGCCCTCCAAAGACAGCAAACCGGCACGTCTCCGAACGAGCCAAGGCTCGCCCCGGTGCAGGGCGCCCCCAAAGGCACCTCATCCACCCACATCACCCCCCCAACCCCATCCACTTGGCGTAAGGCCGAGGATGACCGAACAGCGCGCGAAAATGGCGTGATTGCCACCCCGCGGGGTCGCCAGGCCTCCAGCGACCCACCGTTCAGTCGCAGGCTCCAGTCAGATTGCCGCCGCGGCCCCACCTCGCACCACTCCGGCAAGCGCCCACGCTGCGCCCGCCTCCGCGCAACGGCTGCCTCTGGGCGCGCCCCAGAACTCGTCGACGCGGTCCCACCCAATGCCCGCCCGGCCCCCGATCCCGCTTGCCCTCTCAACCCTGAGTCGCCCGCGCGCCCGGCGCAATGCGGCGCCGAACTCACCTCCTGGCTTGCTCGCCGGGGCGGCAGCAGCCCGCCGAGATGCAGGGCGTCTGACCGCCCACGACTACCCGGGGCTGTCCGGGGCCACCCGGGGCGGTCGCTGGGGGTCGTTCGGCAGTTGGGGCCCCCTTTGAAGGCCGTGCGGCGAGCCAAGGGCAGGGCCCCCCCTCCCCCCTGCCGCGCCCGCCTCTGGCCCGGTGTCGCGGCGCCGGGCTGGGAGCGTCGCCCGCGTGAGGGATGCTGAGGGGTGCCAGGACTGAAGCTGTCGCGAGGAGTCGGCTGAAGGCTTTAGGGCGAGAAGGTCCTGGTGGCCCGACTTCCGTGCCACGTTCGCCGCGGTTTCCTGCCGGGGGGCGTCTGAAAATCCCGGGGGTTTTGTCTTGTTGGTTTTGGTGGGCTTTGTCGTGTTTTTTTAGCAGGTCAATGGAGTTCAATTTGGGAGTGTTGCAGGAGTGGGCAATGGCGACAACGGCAAACGTTGCGTTTCGCGTAATTGCTGTGAACACAGCGAGGCAAGGCACACTTTTTGGACCATGCACATGCATTCGGAGGGTGGGCGCGTGTTCTGAAGGGGACACGGGGCAAAAGTCCGGTGACCGGGCGCCCAGCGACAGCTGTGTTGTGAGCCTGTTAAGGTTAGTCTCTTGGGTGATGACTCAAACCGCTACCCCATGGGCTAACTGGTACTCTCGTCCAGGATAGGTTTTTGCGCCGTGAAAATAGTTCTTACGTTTTTACGCGTAAAAAAGTAAAAATACGTAAATGCAACGTAAAAACTGCCCGGTGTACATAAGGACAGTACATACAGATTTACGAAGCCCGGAGAGTGGCAGCCGGAAGCCCTGGAAGGGGGCAGAAAACGAGTTTCTGTTGAACGCCGTCATCGCCCTTGCCAAGGGCGAAGTGGACATTGTGTTGCGGGTGCTGGAGATGGCGGAAGACTGTTCATTGTACGCAACTTTTATCGTGCAGCCTGGGTGTCCTAGGGAGCCGTAAAAACGTAAAAACGGCAGTTAAAGTAGGCCCTTTTGCAGATTTTCGTTTTTACGCGTAAAAACGTGAAAGCAAAAACGCAAACGTAAACGCAGAGACCAAGCCTGCTCTCGCCAGAGTGCTCACAGGAAGCGCGGACACCACACACACTCAACGCCACCCCAACGGCGCTCACCCACAGCCTCACAAGGCGGCTCCCACGCAGAACGCCGGCTTCAATTTTTGCTTGTCCTGCTGCAAGTTCGACCACTACTTTCCTTGTCAAAGGCCGGCACCAAACACGACCAGATTGCTTCTTGTCTCACAACCACAGGTCTGTCTATTTGTAGCCCTGGGATCCACATGATCACAAACGCCCATCAAATAGCTCCAACATATGCAACCCCGGTGCAAACCCAAGCACAAAACACGCCATGGACGTCCTTTCTGTCAGAACCCAGTTTGAGGTGTGGGCTACCGGAACACGGGCCCTCCACCACGATCAAAAACACAATGGTGAAGCAAAGGATATACTCCTCTTAAGTGCTTCTCTTAAGTACAGAGAAGCCCGGCGTTTCGACACCACTCCGCCGCTCAAGGACAACGTTTCTGACTGTTCAGATCATTCACGTGGCCATTGGCAGCCTTAAGAGATATTTGCAAAACAAAATAAGCAAGGAAATCAAAGCGCTGTTAGGGAAGACGTTAAGCTTATTTTAGCACGCTCTAAGTAATACCGTCAATTTGGCCTTCAGCCCAGACCCTCACCCCCTCTAGCGTCAATCCATATGTGGATGCCAGGATGACTCAGAAACATTACATGACGAAGCTGGGTAATCTCAAGGTGTTTAAGGAACACAAGTGGCCAGAATTGCAGCAATTATAATGGGCTGCACAACAAGATGATAATGGTCATTGCGGGTGATGGCGGCGTCGATGGCACCCTGTTGAAGTATTGTGAGGTCTCCAATCAAGATTGAATGCTTGAAGGAAATTTGGAAACAAGTCCGGAGCTGTGTTGCCTGTGATCTGTGGAGTTCTTTTGTGTATCTTCCCACTCTATATCGATTTTGCAGCCACTACATAATCTCTTAGCGATATAGTCCGGACCCCAAATTGACGCTAAGCGTACCAAATTCGACGTAGCGCCTTCCCTAAAATCGTGGAAGTAACACAACCACAACTTCCCCACAAAATCACTTGTGGACAACATACCCTGACCGAGGGACTTCCATATCAGCCGCACAGCCTTTTTGCATAAAAGCCCATGTTGTCACATACAAACATGAGCGTGATCGAAAGGCAACCCATGAGCTGAATCAGGTAAAATCAGGCTTGGTTTTTACGTTTACATTTACGTTTCTACTTCTACGTTTTACGTGTAAAAACGTAAATTTGCAAAAGGCCCTATTTTTACGACTATTTTTACGTTTTTACGGCCCCTGGGACGCCCAGATTACACGATGAAAGTTGCGTACAATGGTCAGTCCTCCGCCATATCCAGCACCCACAACACAGTGTCCAACTCGCCCTTGGCAAGGGCGATGATGGTGTTTAACAAAAACTCGTTTTCTGCCCCTTCCAGGGCGTCTGGCTGCCACTCTCTGGACACAGTAAGTCTGTATGTACTGTCCTTATGTACACCGGACAGTTGTTATGTTGTATTTACGTATTTTTACGCGTAAAAATGTAAATACGATCAGTTTTTACGGCGTAAAAACCAGGCCTGGGTAAAATGAAACCGACATTATACCAAAGAAGTTCCTGCGTATATCAAGATGAATTTCGTAGTGGCGGTGAGGTCGGCCATCCCGTGCAAAAACAAACGCTCTTGGAAACAAGAGCAATAGCTAACAGTTAAACACGACTGATCCACCCAGTGAATGGTCTTCAATACGTGGCCACGCGACTACAGCCTCAATCTGCAAGCTCCCACACATGTGTGCGGCGCCGCGGTTCAGGCTGTAAAAGTCAGGTCGAAGCCGGCCTCTTCGTTTTCAAAAAGCTTGCGGATTTGTGGATTCGGCATATGCGCTCCAGCGTCATTGCTTCGACGCGACCTCCAGCGCCAAAGTAGGGACCCCTTTGCACCGGTCATGACGCCAGCCAAGCTATTCCTCTGCTCATGCAGCCCCCCTCCCCGTCCCCCTTGTGCGACGCTGGTGGTGCATGCCAAAAGGAAATTAAATGACAATCGCTGGGCAGAACGCCGATAAATAAAATCCTCAGAAAGCGGCGCTGGAATTTCTAGATGCCAAAGCAATGCATACAGTACAGCGCACTTGCGAAACTGCCTCGACCAGCCCTCTTGATCCACCTCTACAACTTGCCCACGCCCAGAAGTGCTGGCACAGGGACTTGTTCTCTCTTCAACAAGTCGGGACGCCGGTGCACTGCGCGCCATCTGCTGACAACCCCCTCGTGTCGACCCTGCTTCGTCGCCCCGTTTCCATGCAAGCTGCCATCTTCCTTAGAGCATCTTCATCGGTGGGTGCTATTGTCCCGGCGGTGCTATTCGGCTATTCGAATAGCAGCGCACGTCAAA